TCACTTGAACGTGGACAGGAGGAAAGTCTCCATTCCTTGGGAATCTATTCCTCTTCACATTATCTCACCCCGAATTGGAGTGAAGAACAGAAATGCAAAAAGGGGCTTCATCCATGCAGCAAGTGGAATTCCCTCAAACAACCTGGCTCTTCGGGGCAGGCAATCAAACCAACCAGGACAGAAGAGATGTAGGTGGTATTTCCAATGTGCAGTTGCCACTACCTCTGACTCCAGCCACTCTTACTCGGGAAGCTTCATAAAGTAGCAAAGCAATATCTAGTTCCTTGGTTCCCATGTCTTAAATGAATCTTTTTCTCAAAATTCTGCTTTTTATTTGTATTTTGAAAGTTGTGTTCTCCTTTGCTACATAGTACCCTTTTCTCCCCAATTACCCAACTTTTTTAAAATTTAAATTCAGTTAGCCAAGGTACAGTAAGTACATCATAGGTTTTTGATATAATGTTCAATACCTAATTACCCAACTTTTACTGGTGAATTGTCTATTCCGGTTGGTAATTTGCCAAACATTAGCAGCATGTTTATATATATCACCCTCTTTATATTGATTCGGTTTAGGTTTTCCACTACCATTGGCTGGGAAACCCTTGAGGATGAATTCAGACATGAGCTGTGCTGTAGCCCTCCCCATGGCGGCCATCCCTTCTGGGGAAGGAGGGAAGAAGGCCCAGTGGACATGACTCAGGGTCTGCCCTGAGCCCTGCCTGGGAGGGTTTCCAAGAGGAGTCCTTCACCCATCCCAACCATGGCCAGTCCCTCTGCAACATGGTGTTCATGCTAATGGTTTGTGCTTCACAGAGCTGCTTGGGGTTTACGTAAGATCATGCACCTTAAGTGCTCAGCATGGGTCCCAGCGCATAGTAAGAATTCAAAATAATATTAATAATTATTATAACTACTATTCTAAACTCCCAGTGGTAGGAGCTCAGGGTCTGTATTCAGCCACACCTGGGTTGAGTCCTATTTCAGAGCTTGTCAGTGCCTCCAGCCATTTTTCTAAGTAGGAAGGGAAAATTCAAGAAAAAAAAAAACAAGTCCAGTCTTTCCTTAAAAAGTTTATACTGTGATCTCTAATAAAAAATTTGAATTGGAACAATCTGGTGCTGATTGGCATTCCATCTTTGAAAGGATAATGCACATCTCACATCACTATGCCCAATATGCTTGCATCAACTTTGAGCTATGTGTGAGCCTTAGTAAGTATCACGTGGTGGCTTTCTTCTTTTTATACAAAACTCTACCATGTTATCTGCATGAGCTAAATAAATTTGAGTTGTTTTAAAACACTGCTCCAACAAAACCCCAAACCAGTGTTGGGTTGGTGCCTTATTTCTTCCTATAATAAGTCTCTTTATATCTATTGATATTATAAAGTAATATTATATGTCATGTAGTATTATATTTCATTAAATTATTATTATATTACATATTATAATCACATTAACATATAATCATATACATTATAAAAATATATACTGTGTTATTATGTTATATTGATAATTATATGTTACAGCATTTTATAATAATTAAATCATATTACATATTATATGTAACAACTATATATGTTATATAAAAATGCATTATAATTAATCAATAACAATATGTAATATACATACATAATATATGCACAATATATTAATACTAATATAATATAATATATTAACATATTGTTACATGTATCACCATTATAATTATGTTATGGAATTGTATTAATTATATTTATATATTGGAATATAATATATAACATATAATATATAAAATATACACTATATATTATATATTATTATCATATTAATAGATGTACCATATTAATATGGTATATTATATGTTATATATACTATCATATATATTATAGTATGTAATATATACTATATATAATTTAATATAGGTGCTTTGTATAATGGAATAATACACTTATAGCATACTATATTCTATAATATATTGTAGTTACACTAGAATATTATTTACTCACTAAATTGAGTTTTTCAGGCAATTAACAAATATTTAAGTACCTATTATGTGTCAAGCACAGTAGGGCTACAATGGTGAGCAAGACAGAGACCCTGACCCCAAGGAGCTTACAAGTTAATGGGGAGATTCATGGGGGAATAGAATACCAATGTGTACTGTACAGCGATCATGCTATTCAAAAATAATTCATAGGAACTTCAGTGAAGTGAAGATAGCAAGGTCTCTGCTCCATGTGAAGGCTGCAAAATGTTCTAAGAGTGTCAAGAGCTGTGGTTTTACCTTTTTTTCCCTACTGGCAAACTTAGCAACTTTCCACACATTCTATGGAAGTGAAGGACTCAGCAAATAGAAGAGTCATAAGTATACACAGAGGCTGGGTCCCCAGGCTCTGGGCTGGGTACCCCACAGCTTCATGGTCACATGTATCCTCACAACACACCCCAAGGGCCTTGCTGCCAATGAGCAAATCCTGCAGCCGAGCTATCGGGACTCCTTCACCTTTGCTGATGGACTTCTGAGGATACTCAGCCCTTCTCATGAATGATCTCCATGCCCTAAGTCTTCTCCATAAAGAAGAATGGCATAAGAATCTGACTTGAAACTAATTTTGTCATGAAACAATTCACAAAGAATGACAGGATGCCATTTCATGAGTCAGTTTTCTAGGGCTGCTGTAACAAAGCACATAAACCTAGTGACTTAAAGCCACACACATCTATCCTCCTCTAGGCTGGAGGCCAGAAGACAAAATCAGGGTCACCAGGCGTGAGCAGGGCTGCGTCCTTCAGGGGATCCAGGGGAGAATCTGTCTCCTGCTTTCCCAGCTTCCAGGGGCAGCAGGCATTCCTTAGCACAAGGTTCCTGGCTCAGCTCCTCCAATGCCTCCTTCCAGTGTCACATCCCCTACTTCTCTCTGTGTCTGACCCCTCCTGCCCACTTTTAGAAGGAGACTTGCAATTATAGCAGGCCCACATATCATCTGCATGCAGTCCCTTTTGCTGGGTAAGGGAACATAGTCACAGGCTCTGGAAAAGGACATCTTAGGTGTGATGGGTTGGTATTAGTCATTTACGCCAATAATTGTAAAATAATGAAATGGAACCTGAGGATCTCGTTGTCAGTGTTGGTGTGACAAAGCATCTCCATAACTTCTCTGGAGTCAGTATTTCTCTCTGGCTGTGTGAACGGGGTGTGTGCCTGGGGCTGCACCTGCCCTCGTTCCTGAAAGGTGTCTATTCCTTCTTTTATTTATTTATTTATTTTATTTATTTTATTATGTTATGTTAGTCACCATACAATACATCGTTAATTTTTGATGTAGTGTTCCACAATCCATTGTTTTCATATAACACCCAGTGCTCCATGCAGTACGTGCCCTCCTTAATACCCATCACCGGGCTAACCCATCCCACCTCCCCCTTCCCCTCTAAAACCCTGTTTGTTTCTCAGAGTCCATAGTCTCTCATGGTTCATCTCTCCCTCCAATTCTCGCCCCCCTCATTTTTCCCTTCCTTCTCCTAATGTCCTCCATGCTATTCCTTATGTTCCACAAATAAGTGAAACCATATGATAATTGACTTTCTCTGCTTGAGTTATTCCTTCCAATGACAGCCTTCCTCTCCCAGTCAGGACCACATTTCTCTCTGCAGGCACCTGAGAGGGATGCATTCCTGATCACCAACTGCACTCACATGCCGATTGTAATGGATTCTTGCTTCACCACTTCAGGGCAGTGTGGCTGGGGACAAATCATCTCTCAGGTTTGCATTTTCTGCCTCTCAAAAATGTGAATAGTAATAGATGTGGGTCATATATAAATGAGCAGAAAGAATAATTTATTTTGAGACTTAGAAGAGTGAATGCACAGGAAAACCATCCTACAACATTTAGCAAACAGCAGGTACTCATATGTGATAGCCATTTTTACATTTACTATTAAAAAACATCTTCTGCCTGCAGCCCAAATATCTGGCCACAGCTTTGAGTATGAACTTACACCAACAAAGTCCCTCTTCTTGGATGTCCAGATATATGGTATTCCCAAACCGCAGCATGGGACTCAGACAGATCTAAAGTTGCATGTGACTCCTTCATTCATGAGTGATGTCCACAAACATTTCTCGTCTGTTAAAGAGGGTACACATATCCTGATCTCTCTTTGTGCCATCCTGAGATATTACTGTGCCCTCCAACACATCCCCCAGATAGATTCAAGTAAAACACAAAAGTGAGAAATTGATGTTTCACTGAAAGTAATATGGGGAAGAAGGGAAAAGGATTTCCATAAAATGTCAGATAGCAACACACTTTTAACATTCTGTGTGTTCTTATTCAAATACTAAGCCCTCTCATCCTCCACTCTCACCCCCTCCCTAGTCCCTTTCTCCCTCATTCTCTTGACTTCATATTCTGACATCCTTCACTCAAACTCAGATCAGTATAGAAAAATTCCCTTGGGATCGATCACCTACAAAGACAGAAGGAAATAGACAGAGTCACCTACCTTCCTGGAGGCAAATAGTTTATTTACATTTTTGTACATTTTCATATTAAAGGGTAATTATAAACACTGGACACAATGCCCGAAAGGAAAGCCCCAATGCTGGTGGCATTCATTATTATGCTTATTTCTGTTCATATTTATGTTGGAGGGAGTGAAGTCTTCCCTTGCTTCTCCATTCAAGAAGAACCATTAGCATCAGTGCCCAAACACAACCATGTGATGCGCCCCCTGGCCCATAGATAGAAAACACATTCTTAGACAGAGGTAAATGGGATGGACTTCATCACACGGGGTCAAGAACAAGAGATGATGATTGCTACTTCCTATGCAAGAAGGGGGCAAACAAATTGAAGAAAAACAAATTTGTAACATGCATCCAACAACTATGGATGCATCCCACAATACGTATTCAGTATTTTCATATACTGAAACCCTATAAAAGTCCTATGGAAAGAGTCATTATTATCCCCAGCTCAGCTACCCCATTTTCTCACGACCAAACTGAAAATCAAGAGCTTAGGGGACTGAATTTTCTCTGGAAGCTTTTCTTTATGGCATTCTTGAGCTCCTTATTCCTGAGGCTGAAAATGACCGGGCTGAGAAAGGGGGTGAAGACTGTATAGGTGGTGGCCATCAGAGTGTTACTGTCCATAGAATGGGGGCCCTTGGGCTTGAGGTAGATAATGGAGGCAAAACTGTAGTGCACAATGACCACAGTGAGGTGGGACACACACGTGGAGAAGGTCTTGTGCCTGCCTTCAGCTGAGGGGATCCTCAATATGGCGGCCACGATGAAGACATAGGAGAGCACAATGAGGAATAAACATCCCATCAGAGCTGTGACACACACCAGGATCACACCCAAGGTGACAGAGGATGTCTCATTCCCACAGGCCAACTTCAAGAGAGAAAACACATGGCAGAGAAAATGGTGAATCACATTAGATCCACAGAAGGTGAGGTGAAAAACTATCAGGGTCACCATCATCCCCATGACTGAGCCACCAGCCCAGGTCCAGGACACCAGACGGGCACAGGTGCGGGTGCTCATGAGCACATTGTAGCGCAGGGGGTGGCAGATGGCCACATAGCGGTCATAGCCCAT